ACAAATTGAATTCGTCATCTACACTACAATTTTACACCATAAACAAGTAGAAGGTATTTTAACAAAATCCAAAGCACCGTAATCTTTATAAAATAAGCCAAATATATACAGAAAAAAAAAACATTGATAACTAAAAGGGGCTTACATTGACAAGAGAATCGAAATAACGGACTAAAATCTTTATTCCTCCTAATCCATCTCTTATAAGACTCCATAACACCAGAATTCCCAAAAAAACAACAATGATTCAATCACTTAAGGCAACACTGAATCCAAAGTCAACGGTCCCTTCAGGTAGCTTTTCAGATCAAACCCAGATGACATTAAATGCACTTTGACTCATCAGAAATGGCAGTGTGTTTAGGTTGGTGCTGGATCAGAGTTAATATGGTGACGAAAGATTTGAAGAAGAAGAAAACAAATTACTAAATGATTAATATATTCATGTTGGTGGGCTAAAGCGTTTTCACGACCCAACTAGCATATGACGAAGATCACGAATTGAATTTTTTTAAACATAAATGGGAGAGCAAGACAATAACTGGGGATCGCGAGCAGATTCCTAATAAGGGGAAAATGTCACGAGAATATATCACAGTGTTTCACTAGGGTGGCGGGATATTTAGTTGTGATCTTATGGAAAGTAATTATTCTGTTCTTTCCATTTTATAATATGCTATATTTGACTAGATCTTGATTAATAGAGAGAAATAATGATACGAATAATGGACTTATAAAATACTTTTAAAAGGAAAGGAATTTTATACCAAAAAAAATGACAGTTACCTGTAAAACAGTACAATAAATTTTTGGCGTGATTTATAGAAGCAAATTGATTTGACCCAAAATTAATAAATAAATAAGAACACAAATAAGATTATCAAATAAAATTAAAGAAGATAGCAAGCCTAACTAAGAACTTAATCTTTCCGATGACAAGAATGGATGCAATGTTCAAGTGCTAGAATTAAGCGTAATATGACAATAGATTATAGCTTTTTGTGTACAGAATGTTTCTTGATTACAATGGATGCTAGTCCTCCTATTTATAGCATGATTCAAGGAGATAAGATCCTCAAATCAAGCTCCTCTTGAATGAGAATTAAAATCGTCATTGATGAGTGCATAACTGTTGGCTATAAATGCAAATATTTTTTTTAACGACTGCCCATTGAATGTTATCCGATAACAATGTTTTGAATCTTTGTTACCGCCCGCTTTGTCTTCGGAATTCGTTCAATACTGGTCGCATGCTTGCATCCGGTGCCAGCTATTTGCTGACTCATATCTCACTTCTCTTTAGTTCCACGTGTCATTCCGCCATTCACCCAGCTGTCATTAACCAATTTTATCCCAAACAGATAGTCTCCCTAATTTTCAGTGACGTAACTCAGTATTACCAGGAAGTAGATAAAAGTTCTTTTCTTGGAGGGAAGGTTCATGAACGGTCTCTGACACTTGAAAGGACGCACGACTTCTCGCATTTAAAAACCCGAACACGTGTTGTTCCATGATTCAGCAAGTATTTTTGCCAATTTACGAGGTAATTATGACCACGATTTTTTCCGTCTATAACTTCTCCACTACTCATCAATTTTACTCTTTACTTTCACTACTTTTACAACTCTTTCTTCTTCTCTGAATCTCCTTAGAACTTTTCTGCAACACTCTACCTTCTCAGTAAAAACTTCTTCATAGATCTCTTACTACCATGTCTCCTTATACTGCTATCTCTGGAAACACTGGCCTTCTCTTCGGTGGAGGTCCATAGAAGAACAAAACCAAAGAGGTTGACGTGGAGTTTGTACCTCCAAGTATAAGCACCATCATACCACTTGATCTTAGCACGACATCCGACCTTCAAGAGTATAAACCACCTTCAAACTCTAAAAGTAACAGGTTCTGGCATGTTTATAAATACTCCTTTTCTATTCGTCCTTCAGCATCCTTGTTGTGAAGGAAGAACGTAGTTTGGGTAACGTCAAAATTCTCAGCCCCGATGCGATAGAGCGAGTCACCTACTCTCAGCCGGGGTTTATGTACGTTTATACATCCCCCTTCACTTGGGTCCTTTCACCTTCAGAGCGGCTGAAGGATGGAACCAATAATTCTATAATTTTGCCACCGGTACCAAGTCTGCTTGGCACAAGTGAGCCTTTCCATATGGTGTACGGTGGCCTGCCTTCACCAATTATGTGCAAAAATTGGGGAAACCCTAACTCTTGTGAATATGACGAACCTCTACTACCCGAAGATTTTCCATGGGGGTGTGCTAACTTTAGCAAGAGTGGTCATCATGCCCTCCTCACCAGCATTGATAACGACAACGACCGTGGATGGATGGAATGGTTTGTTGTTATTTCTATCACGGACATTATCCTGGCCACAACGCCAGCTTCTTGAGTCATGAAACCTTTTCCGTAAGTCTTCGGGTAACTGTTTTCTTTCCTTGTAAAAAGAAAAAACTTCCTTCTCTACTAATTTTTAATCTCCTTTGTTTCAGCTGCCCATTGGGAACCACCACTGGTTCAAGGATTGGACCGATGGGTACAGAAAATTCTAGATATCACTACGCTAGAATCCCAGCGGTGTAAGCAAAAATTCTTTTTTCTTTCAATTTTAACAACTTAGGAACAATTTGTTAACTGTTCCTTTGCTCTACACAGGGCTTCCAAAAGGTTCTGTCGTGTGCCCCAATGTCGAGGCTCTTGATAACCCCGAGGAGGTCGAGGGGGTATTGCAGAATGCCCTTAACCGTAACAAGGCTCGTGGATCTGGTCGTGCCTCCGGTAAGGGTGCCTCCTCTCGGAGTCCTCGGTCCAAAAGTAAGAAACCAAAAAGGAAGTGTACCTCCTCAACCGGGACTCAAGAGAAGAGAGAGAACGAAGATCATCAACCAGACCGGTCACAGTGGTCATTGATGATGAAGAAGGGGCTAATGATAAAGATGCCCCTCTTCAAAGAAGAAAAAGATCTTCATCAGCTCTGCCGGGTGCTCAGCTGGGAGAGCTTCAAAATCCACCGCCAGAAGAGGTTCAAGCACTCTGCGGAGAGATGGGTTTGGTTGAAAATGGCGATTCCCGCTTTTCGCTCCCTATTGACAAATGAATTGATTTGACCAAATAAATGAGAACACAAATAAGATTATTAAATAAAATTAAAGAAGATAGCAAGCATGACTAAGAACTTAGTCTTTCCGATGACAAGAGTGGATGCAATGTTCAAGTGCTAAAATTGAGCGTAATATGACAATAGATTATAGCTTTTTGTGTACAATATGTTTGTAGATTACAATGGATGTTTGTCCTCCGATGTATAGCTTGATTCAAGGAGACAAGATTCTCAAATCAACCTCCTCTAGAATGAGAATCATCATTGATAGGTGCATAACGTTTGGCTATAAATGCAGATATTCACTGTAATGACTGCCCATTGAATGTTATCCGATGACTATGTTTTGAATTTTTGTTACCGGCTGCTCTGTCTTCGGAATTCGTTCAGCACGTGTCGTATGCTTGCATCCGGTGCCAGTTGTTTGTTGACTTATATCCCACATATCTTTAGTTCCACGTGTCATTCTGTCATTCGCCTAGCTGTCATTAACCAATTTTACCTCATACAACAAAAATAATACTTAATAATGTTAGGAGTACAATTGCACCCAAGTTTTAATATGAATTTGAAAATCAAGTTCTAAATTTTTTAAATACTATAAAATATACATATTTAGATGTCATACTACATATTGCAATTTTTCAACAGTTAAGTTATTTTTCAATATTTAAATAATCTTAATCAAAGGAAAAATTATTTAATTTATGAACTAATATACTACGTATCATCTTTTCAAGATGGAGTTTCTATCCCATAGCAAATTGATGATTTAAAACAGTGGTTTTTGATTTTGAATTTTCACAAAGGAATCATGATCTGTGCCAAATTATCACCAAGATTTTCGATCTTGTGATGGCTTATACAAAATGGGTGGAGTTCTCAGATTGTGGCTGAGGTGTTTCTTTGAGGGGTGGTTCTGACGCCGGAAATGGGTGTCCGGTGGTATGGTCTTATTTTCAATTTTTTTTTTTTTTTTGGAACTGCAGATTAAAAAAATAATTAAGAGGAGTTAGTTGTATTGTGTTCAAATGAAAAATGGCACGACTGAAATTTAATCCATTTTTTTAATTTTTTTTTTTGTTTCCTTTCACACACTTGTAACTTGTAAGAAGGTGAGTTCACTTCTTCTGCCACATAGTGGTATTTGTTACACTTGAAAGTTCAAATTGTTTAACCAAAAAATAGGAATTTCGGTCAAAGTGCAATTTTAGAAAAACTCGAGTTACTGATAATCAAATAAAAAGATAATTGTATAATAAGAAAGGAAAATTGGACTGAGAAGTAGCCGAATAAGCATTGTAAATAACTATATTCCAATCATCATCAGTGTCTCCGTACAAATGTTACTCCTCTCCCTTTTATAGCTATTTCCAA